TGTCACTTGGCTTTCTTGATTGTAGCTAACACTCCACCACTTGAGTCATTTTGCTGGTTAATTGGTGATAGAATCTTGAGGACTTTTCTTCCCAGGCTGGCTTCAGACCTAGGCTGGCTTCCTCCAGGTCTCAGCCTCCTGAGTAAGTAAGACTATATGCATGAGCCACTGATATATGGCTTAACTTTTACTATAGTGGTTTTTGTGAGTGTGTGTGTGTGTATACGTTTTTTATTGTAAAAATATGCAGTACAGAAGGGTTACAGTTACATGAGCCAAGGTAATGAGTACATTTCCTATTGAGCATTGTTGCTTCCTCTTTTGTTTTTCCCCTACCATTCCTTCCCTCACCACCTCCACAACTACCCTCTCCCCACCCCCCATAGTGGATTTTTGTTTGTTAGTTTTTTTCCGTGGTGCTAAGGTTTCAGCTCACGGCCTTGTCTTGTTAGGCAATTTCCAGTCATGCCCTCAAAACTTTTCTTTTTGCTTTCTGCTTTAGTTGTTTTTCAAATGAGATCTCAAGCTTTTTGCCTGGGCTGGCCTCAAATTTCTATCCTCTTACCTATGTATAGGTGAGATCTACACGTGGGAAACACCGCACCTGGCTTCTTCTTTGCGATGGGGTCACAGTAACCATTTCCCTGGGCTGGCCTCCAACTCCAATCTTCCTATCTCTGTCTTCTAAAACCTGAGATTCCACCTGGGTGATTGCTGTGTGCCACACTGATTTTTCACCCAGGCTGGTGAAATCAACATCACACTGTCTCAAGGAGTATATATCCTGGGGCTTGAACTCAGGTCTTGCCTGCTGTCCCTGAGCTTTTATGCTCAAGGCTGGTGCTCTGCCATTTGAGCCACAGCTCTACCTCTGGTTTTTTGGTGGTTAATTGGAGATAAAAGTCTCACAGCCTTTCTTGCTGGCTTCAACCTGATCCTCAGACCTCAGCCTCCTAAGTAACTCAGATTACAGACATGAGCCACTACTGCCTGGCTCTAGAAAAAGTATATATTATATGCTTTCCATTTAAATATAGTTTCCCAAATACTATCTACCTTAAGCAAAGTGAGAGGAAATCCTCTTGGATGTTAGTATGCATGAGTTTTAAGAAACTCTAGTGTCTCCATGCTCTGGGAAGGCTAGGGAGAAGGAGAAGAGAGGGAAATTGACTCCTTGGGATTCCTCAAATTTCCTACTGGAGTCTAATTGCCAAGTTGCTACCTTCCTGCTGACAGGATCCCATTTAGGCCATGTACCTCCCTCCCCCAATCCAGTATCAGCCCAGGGCAGCTGTTAGAAGGGACCATATCTCAGGCTCAAGCTGGGTTTGTGGCTGCCATTGAGAGAGATTCCCGACCCCCCTCCCCCCCCCCCCCCCCCCCGCGCCCTCCGCCCCAGCTTGACACTGCTGGGAACATGAGCACCCAAGAACCATAGGGAGAACAGCCTTGATTTTCTGCTCTTTCTGAGATATTGCATTTATTGCCATTCTTAAGCACCAGGAGTTTCTTTTCTTGCAGACCTTCATTAGCTGACATCTCATTTCCAAAACCCTTCTGTGCTGGCTTGCATCTGGGCAGTCATTTTACTGCTCTTCAGTCCTGATGCTTACCCTGCCTTCCCAGCCCTCATTTCTCCAGCTGTGCAAACAGGGTGGATCCCTTGCTCTGCAGTGCTACTCTTTTGTTGTTGTTGTTGGTCATGTGGGGATTGAACTCAGGGCTTGGGCACTGGCCCTGAGCTCTTTTGCTCAAGGGCCAGTGCTCTACCACTTTGAGCCACAGCACCACTTGCAGTTTTCTGGTGGTTAAATGGAGATGAGTCTCATGGACTTTCTTGCTTGGGCTGGCTTTGAACTGTGATCCTTTACATCTCAGCCTCCTGAATAACTAGGATTACAAGTGTGAGCCAGCAGTGTCTGGCCTTGCAGTGCTACTCTTAAGCACCAAAGATTCTCTCCCAGAATTCTTAGGATGGGGAGCCAATGAGACTATGTTGGGTGCTGGGGAGTAAGCCCACCTTTCTCTAGGAGCTGCTAGACTTTGAGTTAGGAGCTTATGACAGGAGAGGGGTGGGGGTGGAGATGCACATGGAAAATCCATTAGGCACTTACCAAGACTGGCTGGAATATACCTTGAAACAGTGCTGTAACCATCCTGTGTACTTCAAAATTGCTGGCCCCATTTGCAGTTAAACTTCACCCCTACTTTAGGAGGTGTGTATTATGTGCATGTGTGTTTTAGGTGTGTGTGTGTTTCAGGTGTGTGTGTGTGTGTGTGTGTGTGTGATAGATCCAAATCTGTTTGCTTTGCCCAAGTCTGTTACCTTTCATGGCAAGATCCCAACTCATCCTATTTTTCTTGGGACCCAAATGCTTCCTGCTCCGTTCATTAGAGGTGGACGAAAGAGGCCTCTTTTCAGTCTTTGCTGCTAATGGATCTAGCAGACCCTGGCTAGAAACCTGATCTATTTGAGGACCCATTTCCACACACCCTGGCCATCCACCATGTTACCCAGACTTGGAGCTGAAACTGAATGGTCTCCTTGTCTCCCCTACCCCTTCCCTCTCCCCTTCTTACTCTTTCTCCTTTCCTCATACAGAATGCTCTCATCATAGACAGCTATTTTTGAAAGCACCTCCTCCCTTCATAGCTCATTATTCAGGATAAAAGAAGCTTGGAACATGTGAAGCTAGACACACCCAAAGGGTGGAGAGAGATGAAGCCTTTTCGGGATTTCTAAATGTGCAGCTTTAGCTCAAGCCCTGCACTGCCTTGCAAATGTGTACTGTTGGTCCCAAAGGGGAGATTTCCAGGTTAAGAGCTTCCCAGGGCAAGCTGTGAAGAAAAGACAAAGCTCTAAAGTCTTCAACACACACACACACACACACACACACACACACACACACACACACACACACACACACACACACACACACACACACACGGTCCCAAAGGGGAGATTTCCAGGTTAAGAGCTTCCCAGGGCAAGCTGTGAAGAAAAGACACACACACACACACACACACACACACACACACACACACACACACACACACACACACACACACACACACACACACACACACACACACACACACACACACACACACACACACACACACACACACACACACACACACACACACACACGGTCCCAAAGGGGAGATTTCCAGGTTAAGAGCTTCCCAGGGCAAGCTGTGAAGAAAAGACAAAGCTCTAAAGTCTTCAACACACACACACACACACACACACACACACACACAGCCAAAGCTCACACACATCCCCTGGGTGGGGAGGGGTGGGAAGAAGGATAGTGTAGGAAAATCATAGGTATGCAAAGGGCAGTGAGAGTTGTTCACTACTGACATTTATTCCAAAATTGTTTGTGGGGTGGGGTGCAGTGGAGCTGGGTACAGTGAGAGGTCAAATACCTTCTGGATCCTTGGATATTCTAAGTGGTTTTAGAGCCTAGCCCAGCTTGTGGTTTCCTATCAGATTCCTGCCTAACTCTCTTGTCACCAACTTCCCTCCAAATTGAGCCTTATGATGTCTTATTCCCAAAGTGACTTCAGGCAGTGCCTTGATAGGCCCTGGAGTTCCCAGAAATAACCTTCCCAAACCTTTGTCAGTCAGCCCCAGCCCTTCCCCCATTCATCTCCCTCTCATGAAATTCCAGACTTTTCAAATTCCAGTGCTTTAATTTATTAGTGTCCCAAAGCCTATTAGTTAAACAAACAAATGACTGGTTTGTTTGAAATTTAAGGAGAACAGTAATTTGTACTGTTCCCCCTCCCCCCATTAGCTAAAAATAGTACCACTAGAAGGCTCAAGCAGGCCCGAGGAGAAGCCTAGGGCAGACTCAGTCTTCCTACTGGAGACACATTTGGACATATACAGAGTGCCTGAGGAGATTGAGGAGGGGTAGGAAGGAGGGGGCTTTCCTTCCTTCCTTCCTTCCTTCCTTCCTTCCTTCCTTCCTTCCTTCCTTCCTTCCTTCCTTCCTTCCTTCCTTCCTTCCTTCCTTCCTTCCTTCCTTCCTTCCTTCCTTTCCCCAGTCCTGGGGCTTGAACTCAGGTCCTGATCACTATCCTTGAGTTCTTTTTGTTCATGGTTAGCACTCTACCACTTTGAGCCACAGCACTACTTCTGTTTTCTGGTGGTTAATTAGAGATAAGAGTCTCACAGACTATCCTGCCCGGACTGGCTTTGAATCATGATCCTCAGATCTCAGCCTCCTAAGTAGCTAGGATTACATGTATGAGCCACCAGTGCCCTGTTCCCTTTAATTTTCTTATTACCTAACTATACATGTTCTACTTGGAAAACACAGGAAAGTAGAAAGAAATACAAAGCACACATAATCCCATCACTCAGGCAAGCGTGGATAAAAGTGTATTGTGTTTCTTTACACAGTCTTGCTGGCCATAACTATACCTCTCCATTACTGCCTAAATATAAATTACTGTTATTATTATCTTACTATTTTTGCCAGTCCTGGGCTTGAACTTAAGGCCTGGGCACTATCTCTGACCTTCTTTTGCTCAAGGCTAGCACTCTACCACATGAGCCACAGTGCCACTTCTGGCTTTTTCTGTGTATGGGGTACTGAGGAATGGAACCCAGGGAGAGAGAGTCTTATAGTCTTTCCTGCCTCGGCTGACTGTGAACCGTGTTCCTCAGATCTCAGCCGCCTGAGTAGCTAGTATAAATATTTTTTCTGGATATGTACTCTAGATAAAAATATGAAATGACAGAAACAATCTGAGGAGCAAAATGGAAATGACCTGAATTCCAGTTAGAGTGAGGTGACTGGTAGCTCCCGCATTCCCTTTGGTCATTTGCATGTAATTGAGACCATGTAGTCAGTGTTCTTCCCTCTGCTTTTCCTTAGGTGTCGCGTGTATATTTGCTCACATACACAACGTCACTTGAAACATGGCGTGTAAGGGCCACATAGTCACTGTGTGAATGGATCCCAACTTACCTTTTTGTTTTTCAGGAGAGACGGGTTTGGGCAAGTCCACCCTCATGGACACTCTGTTCAACACCAAGTTTGAGGGGGAGCCAGCCACTCACACACAGCCGGGTGTCCAGCTCAGATCCAATACCTATGACCTTCAAGAGAGCAATGTGGGGCTGAAGCTCACGATTGTTAGCACAGTGGGCTTTGGGGACCAGATCAACAAGGAAGACAGGTAAGGATGGCAGTCGGGTGGGAGGTGGTGGCTGGGGTGGGGGGCGCAGTAGAGCATTGCCCAGAGGAGCTCAGGATGCTATCATGGATGCTGGGATCCATCCTGTCTCCCCACAATGACAGGTAGCAGGTCCCTCATAACCAGCACAGTCCAGTACCTTACTCACTGCTTTAACTCCATACACTTGGCCTAAAGAAGGCCATTTTCCCAGTATACATGGGCGGGCCCCCAAGTGTACATTAAAGTGTGCATTCAGCACACTTGTAGGTTTCTGCCTTGTGCTGGGTGTCCTGTTCTTGGAATCCAATAAGGTACATACACATAGTATCTGTCCTTGAGGCATTCCAGGGCAAGATCGGTGCTAAGTAAACAAGCCAATAATTTCCATAGAGTGCTATGTGTTCCATAAAGGACAAGGTACAAAAAGGCAGGGGTGAAAAGTGTCACTTCTTTGTAGTTAGAGGAGGTCAGGGTCAAGGAAGCCTTCACAAAGCCCCCCATGACGCTGAAGGATGAATCACACTACCAGATAGACAACGGATAGAACAGAAGGGCATTCTAGGAAGAGGTAATTGCTGGGACAAAGGCAAAATGATGAAGAGAGTTCTAACAGTGGGTGTTGGAGGCGTGGCTCAGGGGGTACAGCGCCAGCTAATGAGAAAAAAAGCATCAGTCTTGGTTTTTAATGAAAAAAAAAAAGAAAGAATTTTGATGTATTCTAGGAAACTGCAACTGTTTGACTAGATAGCTAGAGTTACAGAGAAACTAATGAAGCTTAAGCTTTGGGATCCTATAACCAAATTTTAGTCAGAAGGTAGTATTAGTTTACTTGGAAAGTTAAGAATAAGTGTAACTCCCTCTGAAATCTGTTTTTTTTTTTAAATTTTAATTTAAATTTTTTGTGAACATACTGTACAGAGGGGTTACAATTACATGGGCAAGATAATGAGTACATTTCTTATCAAGCTCCCTCTGAAATCTGGATCTGCCCCTGGGCTAGCAGTTGAAGTGATGAGAGGACAATAGAGGAGGTGAGTCTGTAGATAGAGTGGTACCAAATCCTAGAGGGATTTAGATGTACATTTATGTGGAGCTGTTGAAAGATTCAGTATGGCTGAAGTTGGCAGAACACCTGCCTAGCAAGTACTAGACCTGAGTTCAAACTCCAGTACCTCAGAGGTGGTAGGAGGAAGGAGGTAGATAAACAATCCTTTCAGATAGTATGCTGATAAACTAGATAATCAAGAAGGCCAACCAAACTAGTGGAGCAATAAGATTGAAGAAGCAAAATAATGCTAAGATAGGCAACAGGAGACTGATTTTCATAGATACTGAGTGGGTAAAATCACGGGGCTTGGTTTTGTTTTTATTTTTCTTTTGTCTTTGTTTTTTTTTGTTGTTGTTGTTTTTATTTTTTTATTTTTTGGTCAATGGTGAGGCTTGAACTCAGGGCCTAGGCACTGTCCCTGGGCTCTTTTGCTTCAGGCTAGCGCTGTACCACCTTGAGCTACAGCTTCATTTCTAGCTTTTTGTGGCTAATTAGAGATAAGTCTCACAGCCTTTCCTGCCTGGTCTGGCTTCAAACCAATGATCCTCAGATCTCAACCTTCTGTGTATCTAGGCGTATAGGTGGGAGCCTCTGAAGCCTGGCTATTCTATTATTATTTTGTTTTTAAAAATTATTTTTATTTTATTTATTAACTGTACAAAGGGGTTTCACTGTGATATGTTTGCACATGTATTGTGTACTTTGATCATATTCATCTATCTTTTACTTTCATTTTTCTTTTTTCTTTTATTTTCTTTTTTGTGCTGGTCCTGGGGCATGAAATCAGGGTTTGGGCACTGTCACTGAGCATCTATGCTCAAGGCTAGCTCTCTACCACTTAAGCCACAGCTCCACTTCTGCTTTTTGGTAATTAATTGGTAGTTAATTTTGGTGATTAATATAAAAGTCTCATGGAATTTCCTGTCTGGGCTGGCTTTAAACTTAGATCCTCAGATCTCAGCCTTCGGAGTAACTCGGATTACAGGTGTGAGCTGCCAGCACTTGGCTATTACTCTTATTCCCCTTTGTTTTCTCCCCTCATTAAACTTTTTTTTTTTTTACAGATTTTGGGAATGGGTTTTATTATGCATTTCTTTTTTTCTTTTTCTTTTTTTGGGTCCGGTCATGGGGCCTGAACTCTGGGCCTGGGCACTGTCCCTCAGCTCTTCAGCTCAAGGCTAGCGCTCTACCACTTGAGCCACAGCACCACTTCCGGCTTTTTTTCTTTTTGCTTATGTGGTGCTGGGGAATTGAACCCAGGGTCTCATGCATGCAAGGCAAGCACTCTACCACTGAGCCACCTTCCCAGCCCCTTATTATGCATTTCTCATATGCATACAATATACTTCATATTCACCTCCAGCCTGTTTTTCTTCTATTTCCTGCCATTTTCTCCCCAAACAGTCCCCCTTTAATGTTCATATGTATATACATTTTTTTCTTTTTTTTTAATTTTTAATGTTTTGGTGCCAATCCCAGGGCTTGAACTCAGGGCCTGGGAAGTTTCTAAGCTTTTTTGTTTTTCAAGGCTAGCATTCTACCACTTGAGCCATAGCTCTGCATTTGGCTTCTTGGTAGTTCATTGGAGATAAAAGTCTCACAGACTTTCCTGCCCTGGCTGGCTTTGAATGGCAGCCTTTAGATCTCAATCTGTTGTGTAGCTTGGATTACAGGCTTGAGCTGTTGGTGCCTGGCTATTTTATTTTAAAATTAGTATATATTAACTGTATAAAGGGGTTTCACCATAGTATTGCGCATGTATCTGTATTATACTTGGATTAGATTAACCCTCTCTACTACTCTCTTTCCTTATGTCATCTTCATACATAAACATAATATGCTGGGAACTGGTGGCTCATACCTATAATCCTAACTACTCAGGATGCTGAGATCTGAGGATCATGGTTCAAAGCCGACCCAGGCAGGAAAGTCTGTGAGACTCTTTTTTTTTTTTTTTTTGCCAGTCCTGGGGCTTGAACACAGGGCCTGGGCACTGTCCCTGAGCTTCTTTTGATCAAGGCTAGAGCTCTACCACTTGAGCCACAGAGCCATTTCCAGCTTTCTCTGTTTATGTGGTACTATCAAATCCAGGACTTCATGCCTGCTAGGCAAGCACTCTACCACTAAGCCACATTTCCAGCCCCTGAAAGACTCTCTTCTTCAATTAACCACCAGAAAACTGGAAGTAGAATTGTAGCTCAAAGTGGTAGAGCACTAGCCTTGAGCAAAAGAGCTCAGGGACAGTGCCCAGGCCCTCAGTTTAAACCCAAGGACTACCGTGCATGCCACACACATGCACGCACACAAAAGTATATGAACATTAAAAACATTAAAAAGTATATGTATATATATTGTCATCTTTCCCTTTTTTCTCCTCCTCTCCATAGACAGTCCCATAATTACAGTGATGGGGTTGTTTATATTTGTATATATATTTTTAGGTCTACTTCCACACAAGAGGAACAATTTCTATTCCTTATGAATATATGTAGCTCCTTAAGATGATATAAATACTTTTTCATTTCATTTGAGATTCTAGAAAGATCTCTGCCTCTCCCTTCCTTCTGTGTGTGTGTGTGTGTGTGTGTGTGTGTGTGTGTGTGTGTGTGTGTGTGTTCCCTCTTTCTGAGCTGGAATTCACTATGTGACCTAGGTTGGCTTCTAACTAGAGATCCTCCTGCCTGAAGCTTCCCAGGTTGGGATTTTAGTTATATGCTATCATGCTAATCATACTAATCTTGTTAGCATGAGGATAATTAGACTTTGCACCATCAGTTGAGTAGTTGGGCCACAATGTGCTTGATCTCAGCTGCAGATTTTCAGGAACTTCTCAATTAAGTTTGTCACAGCCTTTTCAGTTTCATTTATTCAACATATCTAGTATTGGACAATGCCTTAATGATGGCTTGGGGGGACTGAATGGATACTGCCCTTAGAGGCAAATCTACTTGTAATTTGTTTGTTTGTTTGCTTATTGTATCAGTATTGGAGCTTGAACTCAGCACGAGTGTGTCTCTGAGCTTTTTTTACTCAAGGCTAGTGCTCTACCACTTTAGCCACACCTCCCCTTCTGGTTTTTGGTTGTTAATTGGAGATAAGAGTTCCACAGACTTTCCTGCTTGAGCTGGCTTCCAACCTTGATCCTCAGATCTCAGCCTCTGAGTAGCTAGGATTACAAGTGTGAGCCACTAGTGCCCATCTTCATGGCTATTTATTAGTTAATCCAGAGACCTTAGGCAAGATACTGTAATTCTCTGGGCCTCCATTTCTAGTCACATGTACAATGAGGCTAATGATCATAATAACCTTACATTAAAGGGCTGTGATGAATTGTACTTGACAAGAATACCATAAAAAGGGGGCGGGGCACCAGTGGCTCTTGCTTTTAAATCCTAGCTGCTCACGAATCTGAGATCTGAGGATTTCGGTTCAAAGCCAACCTAGGCAAGAAAGTTTACAAGACTCTTATCTCCAATTAACAACAAAAATAATCAGAAGTGGTATTGTGGCTCAAGTTGTAGAATGATATCCTTGAGGAAATAAAAATTGCAGAGAGGGCTGGGAAGGTGGCTAAGTGGTAGAGTGTTTGCCTAGCATGCATGAAGTATTGGGTTCGATTCCTCATAAACAGAAAAAGCCAGAATTGGCGCTGTGGCTCAAGTGGTAGAGTGCTAGCCTTGAGCAAAAGAAACTCAGGGACAGTGCCAAGGCCCTGAGTCCAAGTCCCAGTACTAGTGTGTACACACACACACAGACACACACACACACACACACACACACTCATAGCATGAAAAATGCCTAAGCAGCACCTGGCATGGACTACCTCACAAACTCAAGGTGTTACTATGGTTATAATTTTAATTGATAGAAGAATAAAGGGAAGACTTGTATCATGCAGCATATAGGAGGAAATTGTAAATGGTGTCCAGAAAAATCAGATCAGAAAAATAAC